GGATTTTTTTTAATTAAGCAATCTGTATACATTTACAACCTTAACTGTAGTTTATGCAGGTTTTTTGGCCTGGAAATTGTCTTGGGTTTTTTTCTTTGTCAGTTTATCTCCCCAATTTGGAATACCAAAATATACTTTCAGAAAAAGAGTCACATTACTTTCCCCCCCGCCTTCCTAGGAATGTTCCCACACTGAAAGTTTCCAATAACAATCTGAGATTTCACATTCCCACCATGTCAGAAGTCCACAAGGAACAGACACTGAAAATGTTGATACTAATTTTAAAAACTATAGAAAAAAGAAAGAAAAAAGTAATATCAAAAGATACAAGGTAATAAAGTATGGTGAATTATCTGCATATGGAACTGGAAATTATCACGGTGTACTTAGGGTTTGTTAGAAAGGTGTACCACTTTAACTATGCCGGTATTGTAAAAACAGAACAACCCTCCCAGTCTGGACACAGTTTATACTGATCTACTGTAGCCATTCCATACGAGAAAGTGGAAGTCACCTTTATACCAGAGTAATTACACCCACACCAGGATTTTTAGTGGTATAACTATTTTGGTAACAATAAAAACAAAAAAAAATCCGTACACCTAAAAGTTATCAGGTTAAGGGCAGATTTGGCCTTACAATCATTTTGTCATACTGGAATGGCCTTTCATAATGAACATGGACCACATTATCAGCTCTTGTGAAAAAATCCACCAGAGGAGAAAGTTACAAGAAATATTCCACATGGCTGAGGACATAGGAAACTTGATCCCTCTGGGAACGGATCAGCAGCTGCATGGAAGAGGCCATGGGCATGGTTGCTTAACTGCATGGTGTAAAAGCATCTCTGTAAAAACCCTACAGTTGAGGATCTCAGGACATCCACTCTAGAGCGCCTGCCCCTCCATTTCCCCATGATGGCCACCACCACAGTTAGCTCAGTTGCCACTGAAACCTCCTGTGGCACCTGCCTGCTACCTCCAAAGACTGTTAAACCCTGAAGAGGAAGTTAACATTGAAACACAAAACAATAATCTGTGACAGATTGCCGTGTAATTTAGGGCCCTTTTGACTGGGATCATGCCATGGAGAGTAGCTGTTCTGAGTTAAATCTCAGCCACAGCTCTCGGGACCATGGGCATATGACAAAAATATCTGCCTCAGAAAGGGCTGCTAATAATTGTTAAGAATGCTGCATAGCCACATCTCTGCCACCCCTTCCAGATATCACATTTTCTGCACAGATTAAGACACAAACATGCAATGCTGACGCTTAACTTTAGTTACAGTAGTCCCATGAATACATGCATAAGTGCTTATTGAATCGGGGCTTTAATCACTCTGTGCAACAGAGGAGGTTGCTGGATACTTTGCAAGTTTCAGAAAAAACAATTCACCATAGAGTGAGTCTAACAGCGCAAATGACACTCTGATTCTTTACTCCACAAACATATTTTCATATACTTAGGATAGGGCTGTCAATTAATCACAATTAATTCAAGCGATTAATTCAAAACAAATTAACTCAATTAAAGAAATTATTTGTGATTAATCACAGTTTTAACTGCACTGGTAAACAATAATTGAATGTCAATTTAAATTTATTATAAATATTTTTGGATGTTTTTCTACATTTTCAAATAAATTGATTTCAATTACAACACAGAATACAAAGTGTACAGTGCTCACTTCATATTATTTTTAAAACAAAAATTTGCACTGTAAAAAAGATAAACAAAAGAAATAGTATTTTTCAATCCACCTCATTCAAGTACTGTAGTTCAATCTCTTTATTGTGAAAGTGCAATTTACAAATATAGATTTTTTTACATAACGGCACTAAAAAAAAAAACCACAATATAAAACTCAAGAGCCTGTAAGTCCACTCAGTCCTACTTCTTATTCAGTCAATAACTAAGACAAATAAGTTTGTTTACACTTACGGGAGATAATGCTGACCACTTCTTATTTACAAGGTCACCCAAAAGTGAGAACAGGCATTCACATGATACTTTTGTAGCTGGCATAGTGAGGTATTTAGGTGCCAGATAGTCTAAATATTTTTATGTCCCTTCGTGCTTTGACTACCATTCCAGAGGACATGCTTCCATGCTGATGAGGCTCATTAAAAAATAATGTGTTAGTTAAATTCGTGACTGAACTCCTTGGGGGAGAATTGTATGTCTCCTGTTCTGTTTTACCTGCATTCTGCCATATATTTCATGTTATAGCAGTCTTGGATGATGACCCAGCACATGTTCGTTTTCAGAAGACTTTCAAAGCAGATTTGACAAAATGCAAAGAAGATACCAATATGAGATTTCTAAACATAGCTACAGCACTCGACCTAGGTTTGCCTGTCGGATGTCTATATTTTCTAACTAGTCCCAGTTACGAGTCTAAGAGGTTTTAAGCAATGTCTCCCCCATCTCCCTTTACAGTCAATTCCACGGTCTTGACTCCTTGCCCTGTGAGGAGTATTAAGGCAGTATTAAGGCAGGCATTAAGAATCTGAAATGCCTTCTGAAATCTGAGGGGGATGAGGTGTGGAACGTGCTTGTCAGAAGTCTTCAAAGAGCAACACTCCAATTCGGAAACTACAGAACCCAAACCACCAAAAAAGAAAATCAACCTTTTGTAGATGGCATCTGATTCTGATGATGAAAATGAACGTGCGTCAGTCCACACTGCTTCGGATCGTTATTGAGCAGATCCTGTCATCAGCATGGAAGCATGTCCTCTGGAATGGTGGTCGAAGCATGAAGGGGCATATCAATGTTTAGCACTAAGGAATGGATTAAACTGATCTTTTCAGAGCATTTTAAAATAAGTGAGGCACTCAGTTTAAGTCTACACACGCACAAAGCTATCTACTATTAAGAACACACAACAGATTTTGTATGTAGGACAAGAAGTGAAAAACATTTTTGTAACAAATTAACATTTATACTTTTATAGCATCAGCCCTATGAGCCATACTCTACAATTGAACATTTAGCATCAATATGTTGGAAAAGGTAAGGATATAAACATTTTACAGATGAGGAAACTGAGGCTCAAAGGTTACTTTCCCAAGATCACCCAGGAAATCTATGAAAGAGTTAGGAATACAAACAATTTTTAAAACCTATAACTAAGTTATTAAAAGAACTACATTCCCAGATCTTTTAAAGGTATGTTAAATCTTTAAGGCAAGAAAACTAATGCTGTCATTTTAAGTACAAGGGACAATTGCATATAATGAAGCGAAAGCAACTATCAGCTTCAGTATGTCTGAGTTAACCTATGTGTGATCAATTTTTGATCTTTAACACTGAGATAACAGGGATCAAGATGCAAATTACATGAATTTTCACGTTAAGTAAAACTTGCAAAGTTAAATGTTTAAATGCATATACTTTTCAGATTCTGTAACATAACATCTTATTGTACATCCTATTTGCTTAGACTAGGTTTTTGAAAGACTTCTTTCCTTCACAGACCATCTCCTCCCCCTACAAGTGATCACATATTAGGTCATATGACACATCACTACCTTTCCAACAGTAATGTAAAACAAATTGACTTCGCTGAACTCTGAGCAATGGCTCTGAAAAAGTATTTTCTAAGAAAAATATAATATATATCATAATAATAGCAGGAAAGGGAATATAGAAAAACCCCTGGTACATTTCATTTTGGATAAGTCTTCTCTCTTCCCTCACCTAAAGTTTCCTTCAGAGTCAAATCCTCCCTTGAAACAAAACCTGTCAGTGGTCCTTAAAAAACCAGTCACAAGACAGGACTAATTTCATGTAATGTTGTGACAGATGTGTACCAGATTCTGAACAGGGCATTAGCCTGACCCACAGGAAGAAGCCTTGTGCTTTACCCTGCATCACAGAGAAAGAGAATTAGAGGAGGAAGGAAGTCCACACTTCTTTCTGAGTCAAAAAAACACACCCGAAGGGTTAAACAGCTACTCTCAGTTTCTGTCTCCTGGGCCACGTGTTTTCCCTTGACATTAATGAGGAATTTAGGAACAAGCAAACCACTTTATTTCTGAGCAGTTTTATAGTGAAAAAAAAAAAAGAGTTGGGGGACTTGTCCTGTTACTGGAGCTACAATAACCTGATCTTAAGTAAAAAGAACTAATAAAAATTTGGCACCGCAATTTGTCTCTATGCAGAGAGGCAGCTGGGCTTTCCAACAGCAGGGATAGCCCACCACATTATTGCATCTTATTCTGAGAAGTGAATTGTGCACTACTGAGACAAACAACCTTTTCACTTTTCTTTGTCATTCCCCCCGCCCCCAACCCACCACAGCTGCTTAGGCACCGATCCTGCAAACACAGAGGAACGTGAGTATATTGAAACATGCCTTAAAGGGCAACAGTGGCATTAAAATCAAGTGCATGGAGAAAAACTGTCAGCGCTCCAGGGTTCGAGACGTCCCAACTAGACAGCAGGATCCTGCTGAGTGCATCTGCCCTGTTACGTTTAATATCAGCTATCAAATCCCTCCAGCATCAAACATTTAACCCTGCAAGGAAAATCCTTCCGAAAGCCTTGTGTGTCCAACCTCTCCATCATAACTTTTCCCTCTCTCTTTGCAGCTACAAGGGCTGCAGGCTCCGTCTGCTCACACACAAAACCCAATCCCTCCCCCCTTTAAAAACAGCTTTCCGCTTCCCGAGCTGCTGGGGAAACTTCCACCTCCTGCTGTCACAACTCCAGACCCAACGAGCCCGAACCAGACCCTACATCGCAAGAGGAAAAGGGGGGGGACACGTGAGGTGGGGGGAAGAAACACCCCGACGCCCACAGATGTTCTTGCAGAATAAGCTGCTACCCCCAGAAGCGAGCTCCGGGAAGCCCAGCCTCCGTGCAAAGCTTTGACACCGAGGGGGCCGGCAGCGGGAGCTGCAGCTACTTGGGACAACAATAAGCGCGTGCAGCCGGGCACTGCCTCCCCCCGGCTCCCCGCTCGCAGAGCTGCCTGCCGCGCGGCGCCCTTACCGTCCCTGCCGGCCTCTCGCGGGCGCCTCTGCTCCGGGGGGCGGCTGCGCGCAGGCAGGGGGCAGCCGGCCTCCTGCGGGGAAGGCGGGGAAGCCGCCGCCGAGAGGAGGAGGCGGAGAGCAGCGAGCCGCGCGGTGGGCAGGCGCCTCCCGTGCAGGCAGCGCTTCCTCCCGGCACTGAATGAAACTCTCCCGGGCGCTGCTGCTGCTGCTGCTGCTGGCGGCGGGGGGAGGCAGAGCGCAGCCGGGCTCTTCCCACTGCCCCCACGCGCGGAGGGGAGCGGAGCTACGGGCTCGGCCGTGCCCCGCGCCTCCCAGCGCCTCGCCCGCCCCCCGCCCTCGGCTGCGCCCGCCTCCCGGCCTTTGCCTAGGGTGAGCGGCCGCTCGGGAGTCGGCGGCTCCGCGCGTCTGGCGGCGCGGCGCGGCCCGGGCTGCAATGGTTTGGTCCACGCTGAAATGGGGAGGGACTGGGGGGGGGTGCTGCACACACAATGGGCTGAGCCGGGCTCTGGGTTGGCGCGGCTGGGAGCCTCCGTCGAGCCAGGGCAGGGAGGCTGGGGGCTGCAACCCAGACACGGGCAAAGGGTCACTCCCCCTGGGCAGCCCAGGCTGGGGTCAGGGCTGGTGCGGGGCTTCTCTACGGGCAAACACACGCATTCACCAGCGGGCTGTTAGACACGCTCTTGTGGCGCTGGAGGGGAAGCTGATTAGCGGCTCCTTGCCAGCCCTAACCTGCGATGATGTGAGAACTGCTGCATCCATTTTAATATTAGTTGCATGAAATAAAAGAGTAACCGTGATAAAAAATAATGGGTGATATCCTGGCCCCATTACAAAAGGAGTGTTGTTATTGGCGTCAATGGGGCTAGGATTTCCCCCAGGAGATCTTTGAAAGCAGGGGACGAGTCAGGATTTCACCCAATAGATCCTTGAAAGTGGGCTCCAGAAAACGTACTTCACCATAAAATACATAGTTTTGGTGAAATACCATTGAAGAGGGGATACTTCAGGCAACGTAGGAGAATTTCCAAAATAGTACAGCTGTTCACTTTCCCTTTGTACAAGAAATGAGACATTCACTTACAGAAGATGTTCATTTATTTTGATCATTGTTAACTGGTCTATGGGGCATGCTTTAACGACAGTAGTTAGACGTGCACCAGTGAAAAATCTAAAGGAACTTCATTGAAGCGAATGGAGTCAATTGGTTATGTGTAGTACTGACAGCAGCATTTGGCACAGTGGGCTAGAACCTCAACTGCTGTAAGTCAGCATAGCCACATTGTCTTCAATGCCTATTTATGTCCCCTGAGGAGCTGACCAGTGACTCCTAATTTAGACTAAGCTTTCTGTTACATAATTGTCAATCTTAGTAGCAGAGATGGTAAGGACTATTTCTTTTGCGTTCACAGCGATCATCTTTGGAATATACAAAAACTGTAGCAAATGCAAATCTGATACACACAAAAGTTAAAGCTCATTTAGACACCGTTCTTCCTCTGGTCTGAGCCAGCGCACATGTACTGATACTTTCACTATTCACATATTCACTCACTCATTTAGTTACTTACTTTCATTTGCCTACTCATTTACACATGCAGGTGTCCATATAACTGCTCATTCGCACACACACACCCCTTTTTTTTACAATACGTAATCATTCTTTCCTTATGCATTCTCCTGTTTTTCCACATTCCTAATCTGAGCCTTTGACCCAGTTTTCTGGCTGAGTTTGACTTCCTGTCCCTTGACACAGATGCTCACCCTTTTGCTATCATAACCTATTCTATTCATTAGAAGTGAAGTTTATCCAGGTGTGTATTGCCCAGGCTTTCTCCTACAGTTACTCCAGATATTAGTCATCTGCATGAGAAGAGCACAAGCAGAATGGCTGTGTATAGAGGCCTCTTCACCTCCTACACACTACATGGTGGGGAGGGAGGCAGATCTGAATAGGCTGGCACAAACGAAGAGGGCTGGAAGGGTCTAGAACCAGCAGCCCCAAAAGCCAGTATAGGAGCAGCAGCTACTAGTCCAGCTAATATATTTGACTGTTATCCACAAAGTATCAGTGCTGCATATCAACAACCTGCTCACAGGTTATTTGTATGTATTCCATTACCCAATGTCAAAACTCCCTATTACTTAGGGTTTATGTGACAAGAAATGAATATTGTCATACCAGAAAAATAAGCAGGGTTGAATTAAGGCCTAGGGGCTATAAATAAATGCCAGAGACCCAGCTTCTGCAGCCATTTGATTACACCAGAACCTAAGCTTTCATTTAAAAAGAGGAGGTTTCTAGTCCTCATTGTTGGGAAGAAAAGCATAAAAATGTGAAACTAGTGTAATAAATTCAGGGAGTCTAACTGACTCAGCAGAGATCCTAAAACAATAATTAAACAGCACCATGTACCTCAGTGGGGTATTAACTCCAAGACCCACTGCTGTGGGGGTCCTTGCTAACAACACCCCTATAGAGAATTTTGTGGAAGGGGGAGAAAAATGCAGTGTACCCAGCCCACCAACCCAATTAGATACGCTGACTGCTGGGGTGAATACTAAGGGCTTCCTTCTGCCTGTCCAGACTTTGGGAGGAGCACTGTGACGCTGCTTCTGAGGGGGAAAGTGTCACTGCCACTACCTTTCTGGGAAGGGTGGGGGCTTACCTGCCATCCCCATCCAAGTGAGAACAGGGCCAAGGCTCAGGGAGCACAGCTATAGGGGAGAAGCCACAGGGGAGCCCGCATGTCATGGTGTGCTGAGGGCCCTTGATCACCTTAATATGACCTTGTAAGTAAGCACTACCAAACACTCTATGAAGAGGCCTACAGAGCTCCACAATGCTACTTGGGTATGCCAAAATCTTTCTAAATGCTCAGTTACATGTATTGTGCCTTTGCTGTCATGTCCTTGATAATAAAACAGAGCAGTCCATCAAATTGTTTATTATACTATTCACTGACAGACTTTTACTCTCAAACTTCACATGATGGATAGCTTCATTAAATTGCCACCTTATGCTTCTAGCAAGAGTGGAATACTATGTTTGATATCTCACCTTTATTTTAGTGTAGCCATTTTTGATTCAACAACTTTAAACCCTCATTTATTTCCTTTCAAATGTAAGTACCCTGTATTCAGGGAGTTTTGTTTAGGCCATGAAATTTACCTCAAAGCTGAAATTTGGCATGCAGGGTCTTAGTCTGAGAGCAAATTATTTCATAAGTATTTGTAAAAAACCAAACTTCAAAACAAAACTCTAGCAATTTACATTTTAACCTTGAAATGTTGTTTATTGAAAATAGATAGTAACTGATTTACAAATACTGTATTTGAAAACACATTATATAATGAAAGACCTCAATCCTGTATACATGTATATGCTTAACTTCAGGCAATGTCTACAGGGCTATAGAAAAAGTTTACTGCTATAGCTATCCTGGCAAACCTTCCTAGTGTAGACACAGCTTATACTGGCAAACAGGTGATTATCCTGGTTTGGCAAGCAAAATAAACTATACCTGGCAAAAACACTTTTATGCCAGTATAATTCTATCTAGGGTTTTTGCCAATATGCAGATGTTAAATAAATAAATAAATAAAATTATATAAATCACACCCCTTACCAACATTGCCATACTGGCAAAAGTTTCTAGTGTAGACCTGACCTCATGCACCTGAGCAGTCCCATTGATATGAGCGGGACTACTGTACATGAATGAAGTTAAGCACATGCATAAGTGTTTGCAGAATCTGGACACAAGTAAGTGAAAAGCCATTTTAATTAAGATGAGTGTAAGAAAATACACTCAGTATATTTTCTTACACTCATCTTATTTAAAATGGCTTTTCACTTACTTATGTCCAGAAATGTTTACATTTACCTAAAAATTAGTTATTATAAAAATAGATTAGCTTATCTCTAGTTTGAAGTATTTTGATATTTTGAAAAGAAGTTGAGATATGAAAAATTTAAAACCCAACTAATGCTGTTAATCAGACTCTTTTCAGAATTCTCCTGCGCAAAACACATATCCTAAATCCATATTAATGCAACTGAGTATAAGAACAATGAGCCTTATTCCTCTAAATGTATGGTTCCAGTAGGGTTTACTCACAACCAGCTTACTCAGTGGTAAACACAACTTGCTTCTGTCTACACTGATTATATCATATTTAACATCATATTAATTAACACAGCTCCTCAAGGTTGTATTCTAACACAACCTAATATTCTTGTGATGACAAGCCCCAATTAGTCTCTAAGGTGCCACTAGTACTCCTTTTCTCTTTGCCACAAATCTGTGGCTCACCATGGTGCACACTACAGCCATTATGAAGTTTATATTAATAGTGAGGCTAGAACTGGTGGTATCCTGCTAAATACAGACCCCTCTAACTTGAGCTAAAGGAAAATTTGGAAGCTGTTAAAGTATAAAGCACGGTTGGACAGTTCTGTTTCTCCCCAGGAGAGGGTAATGATCCTATCCAATAGAGGGCAGCAATTAGTTACACACACACTTTCCTTACAAAATGGACACACAGTAGTGATGCTATAATTAAGGGCCTGATCCTGCAAACTTTAGTCAGACAAGTAGTGCTTATCCAGGTAAGTAATTTCATTGACTGGAATTGGGCACACTCACATGAGTAGCCATGACTTGTATGACTAAGGGATGGGAATTAAAGTTCTAAAGCTGAATTTATAACTGAATGATTTAAGATTAAGTTTTGCTTCAATATTTTTTAGATTGGGGGCTAAATCTCTAGCCTTTTTCATTGTGATACAGCCCCAAGAATGTAAACCTTGGTTTTAGATATAAAATGTAAAAATAAACCATTATGGTTGTTTCTCAGGTGATTTTTCCTATCAATATTTTACAGGAACAAGAATCTTAGATTCTCTACTTTGGGACAGGGAATAGGAATAGAAGAAGCAGCCACCTGTAACAGTGTATAGCATCGATCAAGGGTGGGGAACCTTTTTTCTATCACGGGCATTTGACCCACAGAAAAAATCAATCACGTGCCACACACAGCCCCAAGCGGGGGAAGGGATGGGGGGGTGGTAGGAGGCTTGGGACTTCCCCCCGCAGCTGTGCGCAGCTCCAGCCCCACGGGGGGGCATCAAGGCCAGATGAAATAAAGGAATGGGCCGGTAAAGGTAAAGGGGTATGGTAAAGGGGCATGGTTTTTAAGGTAAAGGGGCATGGTTGCTGAATGTTTAGGCTTTGGACCAGTCCTGCTTGATCATGTATAAACTTATCCAAAATTATCAAA